TCATCTTTTGGTTGGTATATGGATATCTCGCCTACGCTATAAGCGAACGTCCGGCGCTCTAACCGGGTTGGCAGACATGGAGAATTCACCTAGGGGAGTTAAAAAACCCTCATTCCAAACTATTGGTGCACACGGGCTCCAGTATCCTGCGGGAACAAATGGAGTATGAACCAATCGTTGGTCACCGGCTACCATGGGATTGCATCTCGTTACGTTGCTCTAATGCCTTGTGGATCAGACCTTCAGGTCGAAGGTTCCGGGTGTGGCCCCTCTAAGAAAACCACCTGTTTCGGTTTGGACACCCGGTCAGTATCACAGCCCTCAAACATATCGAATGAGATTTGTGTGGCGCATATGTATTTGGTGCCTCCTTGTACCAATATCTATGTGTTAAAATAAATAAATAAAAAAAAATAAGTTGGCAAAAACCATCATCTATTTAGAAACACAAAAAAAATTTCCCGTAAGATTGTATTCAACAACGAAAAAACAAACCACAACTTACTTTCACTTCCTGTAGCTACAAAATCTTCATTAGCTCCACCAAATGTAGAATACAAACGAAAAGTATCTTGTTTATGTCCAACAAATCGTTGTAGAATAGCACAAGCTTCTAAATCCCATAAATGTAATCCCTTTTTTATGTTCAATTTAAGAAAAAAAGAAGTAAATAATTAGAAGAAAATTAATAGTGTTTTGTATGTATGTGATGTAGAAAACATTTAACAGAAAATACGATATTAACTAAGTGAAGTAGTACATATTATCTTTTGTCAATTAAAAATCAGCTTTCTCATTACTGTTTCTATAGTTGTTGTTTTACAGAGATAGATATTCATGATTATTGATTGAAAGAAAAAAGTAATTTTGTTTGAAAAGATATGAACCAAGGCAAACAGGTGACCCATTACATAACACCATGTCAGATGTAAGTAAATAGCTCAGATGAATTGAATAAAACACTGTTTGAAGCAAACTAGAATTAATTAATTTAGAAAACATTATAAAAGTAGTTTTAAAGTGACATTTTTCTAACCAAAATCTTATTGATAAAACTATGAGATAGAATTATTATTATTATCAAAGTGAGAATCTTCAATACCAACGTCAAGGCAAATCTACTGTATGGAGCTGAAACTTGGAGAACTACAACAACCATCATCAAGAAAGTACAAGTATTTATGAATAGCTGTCTACGCAAGATACTCAACATCCATTGGCCGGATAACATTAGTCACAGTCTTTTATGGGAGGGAACAAACCAGCTTCCAGCTGAAGAAGAAATTAGTAAAAGACGATGGAAATGGATAGGACATACATCACGCAAATCATCAAACTGCGTCACGAGACAAGCCCTAACATGAATCCTGAAGGGAAGCGGAAAAGAGGAAGGCCAAAGACATTACGTCGAGAAATAGAAGCAGATATGAAAAGGATGAATAGGAACTGGAAGGAGCTGGAAAGGATTGCCCAGGACAGGGTTGGATGGAGAATGCTGGTGAGTGGCCTATACTCCTTCACGGGGAGTAAGTAACAGGCGTAAGTAAGTAATGAGATAGAATAAGAAATCATTCAAGAATATATGAGAAAATTAGTTATTATGAATAAAATCAATGAAGAGTTCGATATTATGATGAAATAGTTGTTAAATATTTCCTAGTTCTAAATACTATGGCAACTCGAACTGATATACGTACGTACGAAGTTCTACGTTGTTACTGGCTGACTGAAATAATATTTAAATTGATGTTAATCTGTGATGAAAATTATCTACGAATTAAATGAAGAATATGCAAGTTTAAAATAGGATTTAATTGTTGATCAAAACTATTAGTAGATTATGAATCTTTATTAACTTATATGGTTGAGACATGTTACATAAGTCTGAACATCAAAACTAGGTTAACTTTATATCTATGACCAAACTAAAAGTATTTGCCGACAGAATGGATAACAAATTTTGGATTGATCACTTTATTTTTCTATTAAAAAAAATGACAATAAAATCTTATGATCAATCTAATTTCAGCATTTGAGACCAACGCACAAACACAATAACGTTTATGAGAATATGTATATATTTAAGTATAAAAACATGTTTTGATAAATACATATACAAAAAGCATAATTAAAATCAGGCGCAGGGTAAAGTCAGTAGCTTAAGATCACATCTTTTGGTTGAGGGTTGATGATGATGCCTGGCGCCCCCAAATGCCCTGGTATGGCCGAGAGCGGGGTGGGTTTGCCCTCCCACTCGAAATACTCTCACACGGCCGCGCGTATACAGCATCTGCCAGGGAAGTCCTACTCACTGCCTTCTCGTGGCATTACTGTTGTTTACGAAAATGAGAGGACGAAAAGCGAATGTCCGGCGCTTTAGCCGGATTCCAAATCTATGGTGCACATGGGCACCAGTATCCTGCGGGAACAAATGGCGTATGAACCAATTTTCGGTCACCGGCTGCCATGGGACTGCATCTCCTTACGATGCTCCACTGCCTTGTGGGTTAGACCTTTAGGTCAAAGGCTCGGGGTGTGGCCCCCTAAGATAACCACCTGCTTCGATCTGAGCACCCGGGCAGTATCGCAGCCCACACACAATTAATGAACTGAAATTTTGTGGCGCATATATATTTGGCACACTCCTGTACCAATATATATGTGTTCAGATAAAAAGATAGATGGTGCCTGGCTCTCTTCTAGACCAAAGCAAATGAAAAGAGAGATTCAAACTAAGCAACATTATCAGAGGAAATAGATCCCTTTAATCACTGCTCTACATTTTAACACATTTAAATAACTAGGTAATATCAATAGACTTCATAATTAAAATGTACATCAAAGTTAACCACCTGATAAATGAGTTTCATTACTTTTTTAATCTTCAAGCTACCACAATGTTTTACTATAAAACACAAATAAATCACAACTAATGTTACCTTCCCATCTCTCATGTTCAAACAAATAAATTTGTTAAGATTAACGACTAAGTGTACTCAGTAATTTTTGATCATTACTATTATTTTGTTACATTTCTCAGTGAGCAGTGACATCAAGTGTATAAAGTAAAGAAAACAACAACAACAACAAACAGATCCATTTACTCATGAAAAGTGTCAACTGATAAATTACAATTTAGTAACGTTTAATTATTAATCATCAGAAGGGGTTTTGTGGAGATTTTAGAAATTTCACTGATTGAAATCATGATTCAATTGAAGCTAGATCACCATGGAAAACTTAGAAGCACTGGGCGGCCGTTTCGTCCTAGTATGTGACTCCTCAGCAGCGCGCATCTACGATATTCGAACGTAGGACCTATCAGTCTCGCGTCAGGCGCTTAACCAACTAGACCACTGGGCCGGCTGTCATCCAACGGTGTTAATGTCTAACTTCAACCAATCCATGAAGTTGCGCCACCGTACACCATTGTCTTCAGTGAGTTGATATCTCACAATAGACCTCGTTGAACTCCACCGGTAACGGCTTCTCACCAGAACTCCAGGAGTATCTCTTGAAGTCAGTCACTAGTGAGCAGATGATTATTATCAGAAAGGGTTTTGTTGAGATTTTAGAAATTTCACTGATTATTATTAATCAGTTCAAGCATGTGTAACTTATACAAAAGAATAAAAGTACTTCAGCGGTTATATTTAATAACTAAAATTTTATAATCTGTAGAAGTACTTCTATCAGATAAATATACATTGTGCATTATAATGTGGTTGGCCAAAAATGATCAAAAAAATAATATTTTCTATTAAATAGTAGTATGTTAGTGAATAAGTCGAATTGATGCAATGCAAGTCTAATGTATCAGATCATAATCCATAAAAAACAAGGTTAAATTTGGATATTGCAGATTTCCATTTTCAATATTAAATGTTTAAAACATAATCATACACACACACACACACTTAAGATCTTATATATAATAAATCTATACATTCACATGTTAACCGCTTATAATGGAATTGATTTTCTAGAATACAACAAAACAACCGATGAAATACCTGAATGAATGTATAATGTGAGCATGTATATGTTCAATTATAAAACTTAATAATTTACGTTCATTGTTCAATAGAAAACTTTTAAAATACGTTTATTCCACTTGAGAAGAGTTTAGACTGAAAAGTGAAAAAAAAGAAACAAATAGAGAACTTGATACTTAGCCTCATATCCGTTGACCAGATATCATCAGCAATAACCGACTTGTAGAAAACAAACCAGTATCTAACTGAAGAGGAATTTCAGGAAAAACGCTGAAGGTGGACAGGACAAACATTGAGGAAACTATCAAAAAATTATATCATATAGTAAACCCTAACTTGGAGTCCTCAAGATAAAAGAAAAAGAAGAAGACCAAAAAAACACATTACGACGGGAGTCAGGGGTAGATACCAAAAGAATGAATAGCATTTGGCAACAATCAGAAAATCCAGGATAAATGTGGTTGAAGAATCCTGGTAGGTGGTCTGTATTGCACGAAGCCTAATTAAGTTGATAATGATGGAGCATTTAGGATGTAAACGCTTGTGTTTTACCCTTCTGCTGCATCCCAAACCCATCTGCCAGATTCAGTATCATCAACTTTGAATAACCTAACTATTAATATCGTGACTTTCATATTTTTTGCTACTTTACGATGGATAATAAAATTCATCAATGATGCACTGAAGTTTCAGTGAACAGGCTTCCGAACACTTTCGATGTAGTCACCGACTGTGATGAGACTAGATTTCCTAACGTCGCTCCATTGTCTTGAGGATTTGACCTCTAGTCAAAGGCTCAATGAGTGGTCGATCCCTTAAAAAATCATCTGGTTCGGTCTTGGAGTCGGGGTAGTATCAACGCCCACACAAAAATATGGTAATGAATAATTATGAAGAAAATGTTTTATCGCTCCGCCACTCTACTTTTTAAAACGACATTCGTAATCATTTTATTACATGCTAATTTAGTTTGTATTGCTTCAACTTTCTATTCTTTTTTATTTTCATTCTATTTACAGCTCAACTTTATTCGAAGTTCTAACCCATCTAAACGGTCTTAAATTGCTGGACTATCGGTTTTATGAATGCTGTCATTGATTAAGGGATCTGATAGTTCCCCTAATTTTACGCATGTCATTTATACCTACTTCACTCGATGTTTGTACTTTGATGCATGTCGGAGAGCTGATAGGTTTAGCTGCCCTTGCAAAAACCTTTTCAGTCTCCGCATACACACCGATGAAACAAAGATGAGTTCTACAAATAATCAAACCAATAACTCACGAAAACGCACTCGACAAATATTATGGTGTTAGCTCGAGAGATTTGAATGATAAATTCAGGTGTCTAGATATAGACGAGAAACGGTTGGATAGCTAATTAGGACGTGATGGTCACATACCAGAAAACGGTGATTTCAACGTACGGCTTTGTCGGTCAGACGCAACGTAGGATCTGGTACATGCGTACAGTTTAAGTTACCACACCTCATTGGCACAGAGAGATGAAATTGTTAGGAGAAACCTCAGAGTAGTAGAAGTAGTAAGAGGATTAGCGGTAATAAAAGAGATTCGGCGTCGAAGATACCATTCGGGCAGAAAATATAAATTAGTGAAATCAAAAGATTATGAGGAATTTATAAACTTAAGATCTAATAGAAGATAAACTGTTTCTTTCCAGCGCCACAGTCAACGCCAATATGCTATTGAGAGTCTCCCTTTTGCAACACAAACCCGGATTCGGACTGGTCGTATTGCAACCAGCTACGGCTGACATGAATACGTACAAGATTGTTGCTCCTTTTAGAACACCTATCTGGTCTATGATCATTCCACAGTTTGTTGAATAAGTAGTTATTACCTGATCCTAGCCAACAATCAATAGGTGGCTCACGTTTTCATGAATTATATTTCCTTGGCCAAATGCCTACTGGCGCAATGTAATTAACCGAGGAAATATAATTCATGAAAATATGGTGGACATACTAAAGGAAAATTTAGTTATATACCAATAATCAATAAAAGAGAGAAGAGTAATCGAAAAATAAAATGTGTTTATGATACACTTTATCATGCGGGACCATAATTGATTCATACTTTCATAGAAGGAAAAGAAAATCATTCACATTGGAGATAAGTGCAAGAAAAGCCATTAAAATATTGATTTAAGTTATTTTATGATAATAATAGTGACAAAGAGTGTAGAGTAAATAATAATGAGAATCACCATCGTGATATTCCTTAGTTGGTTAGCTGACGGACATTTTCAAATAGTGTTCAATATTCGATTCTAAAAAAATAGACTTACATTTTATCAAGAGATAAGGTAGCATCTAATTAATGGTGGATGATAAAATTTCATGAATTATCAACTAGGTTAATTAAATTTAACCTTCAATTTGGTCAGTTTCTTTTGATGTACTGTAATGTGAAACGTGTGTGTGTGTGTGGACGATTTGGACTAGTACATGTTACTTGTCCTATAACCCTAAGTTATAAATAACTGACTGAAGTGACTATTTATGGAATTGATTAAGAAAAGAGAGATTATATCATTGTAGGTGAAATGAGGTTCAAATCTGGAACTTATTAACTGAAATTTGAACAATTTAACCCAATGAAATAGATAAAATGAAACGGTCATGCTATAAAACAACGTTTTGTTTTGTGAATGAATACAAAAATTGCATAACTCAACACCTAATGCCTCTTTCTATCAGATATATCTGATTGATTATTCTTAACAATTTATAACAATCATATATTCTTATTGAGAAAGATGAAATTGCAGTATAAAGATTGATCATTTAAGGAATTTTAGACAAAAATCCAAAAACATAAGTTGTGTACTCTATATTAGTGTAATCACATAACTATTCACATGTTAACTGGAAATATTGAAATTTCTTTATATCACTTCATTTTTCCCCCACAGTTTCTACTAAACTAATTTATGATTAAAATAACAGTTAAGTTACTTTGAGTTCCTTTTATAAACAAGAAAATATAAATTACTGACTGATTGAACTTACCATTTTATGTATAGTAAGAAGTGCCATAGTTCCTGAGCGTGAAATCATAATTGATTGAACAGGATGAGTTTCTTTAAAAAGAGTTCTATGATCTATTAAGCCATAATTACTGCCATTTGTAGACAGGCTACTAGCATGAGCATTTGTAGTTGTACTGGTTGTTGATGTAGAAAATCCAGTCGCTGGTAGAGATGCTGAAACTGTAGTCGGATTAGTTGGAGATCCAGTAGTAGTACCAATAGTAGAAGTAGATGTACTCACGGTGGAGCCAATATTTGTTACAGAAACAGATGAACGACCTGTAGCTACTCCACTATTATCAGGTGATGTAGACACTGTTAACATTGTTGTACCACTGGAGACAGAATGAACTTGACGACTGTTTACACTGGCTAACGCGGCAGCTGCAGCAGCTAAAGCTCGTACACCTGTCGGATTGGTTGTTACTGAACTAGAAGTACCAACTGGAGTAGTTGCATAAGAAGCTGAAGTTCTATCCAAAGGAGCACCGAATAAAATAGTTAGACTACTACCAGTAGTGCCTAGACTATTTGCACCAGATGATGATACAACTGTGTATGGATTTGAACCATGCAAAGAACCAGCTGGATGCAATATAGGCTGAAGACCTAATTGAGCTTGCAAACCCTGAGTTGTGGGTGGTCCAAGACGAGTTAAACTGACAGGCAGTATAGGCATATCCAATAAAATACCCGCTGAAACAGTAATAATCAATAATTACGAAACTTAGATAACTCACCAGTTACGGAGATAGAACTACAGAAACTGAAAATTCATTAAATTTTCGAAAAATTGACTAAAATCAGTTGAAAAAGAATTTAGTGGCCCCTGATTGAAAATTTCAAACGGAGGGGGGGGTACCGATGAATCAGGTGCTATGACAACTGTATCCTGATTGATTCCTACCGACACTAAAACTTCAAAAGTGCGCTTCACGTTGTATCATTGTCAGACAAAGCAGAAATAAACCTTTGACTTTCTTTTGTCTTCTGAAAAGTTTGGGACCGGGTAAAATGTCATTGAGGTCATATCAAAAGTTCATTTAGAAAGTATTTTGAGTTCCATGAGCTTGTTGCATAGCTAGAAACGAGTCATCACATTAGGAGATTCTACTACATTTTGACTGAAAATTTCTCATGATCGTTATGGTCGGGATCTTCAAAAACTGATGAATATGATGGATCTACATGTGAAGTACGGTTTGATGATACAATACATTGTCTTGAGTAAACTAAACATTCATACTAATTAGTCACATTTCAACAAGAGAAATAAAAAGGAGCTTGAGTATATGCTGACAATTTTGAAGGATATATATATATATATATATATATATATATATATATATATATATATAAACATTGTTGCTACCGTTACAGTATAGGACATTACTATTACTATCATAACATGGAAAGATCTTAAGCCCACACAAACCTGACGATATTAATCAGTTATAAAGAGCTGATTCATCATAAATCCGACTACAGTTGTAAAACCGGTCATTATTATCTTGTTGTATTTGACATTCTAACGATAGATACCAGATATATGAAATGGACATTTTTCAACTTGAGAATATCAGCGAGGAGAGGTCGTTTACGAATCATACTCAAGCGTTAAGTAAAAAACGCGTTAAAACCAATAAATCACATAGACATAAAATGATTAAAGTTTATGTACATCAATTCAATACAAAATAGTTGATTTAACAGTAAAGGATCCGGAAAACTGATATTCCAAATAACATGGCGTATAGTTGTATTATGGTTTGTTCACTATCAAGTGCATCAGAATTCCGTGGTACGACCGAAACTGAGGAGAGTCGGTTCCCCTTCTCGAAATGTTTTCACATGGCTACACATATATAGCCTCTGCCAGGGAGATACTACTTGCTGCCTTCTCGCGGCATTACTGTTGTTTACGAAATCGGGAAGACGAAAAGAGAATGTCCGCCGATTAAACCGGGTTGGTTGTTACGAAAGATCCAACCCAGGAGAGCTAAAAAACACAGGATCCAAACCAATGCTCCATATGGGATCCGGAATTCTGGGGAGAACAATGGCGTTTGAACCTATTCTTGGTTACCGACTATCATGGAACACCATCTGTTAATGTTTCTCCACTGTCTTGTGGTTTAGATCTCTGGGTCAAACGTTCGGGGAGCAGATCCCTAAGAAAACTACCTGTTTTGCTTTAGGGACTCGGACGGTATCCCATCCCAGTCAGTCACAACGTAGAATTTGATACCGCATGTACATCGGTTGTTGTTGTCATAGCCCGTTAGCACGGAGACGAAATTGTCAAGTGAATTCCCAAAATAGTAGAGGTAGTAGAAAACTGAATGATAACTATTTTGTGTGGCACATATATTTTGGTGCTATTCTGTACCAATGTTTGTGTTTAAACAAATAAATACAGATTTTGATAATCCACTATGATTTTTGAAAATTATGTGCTGATGAATCTGGTATCTAAGAAAACAATGAAAATCTCAGTATTAAATCATCCAGTTCAGAGAATACAACACCTAAACTCTCATCCTGAGCTATAGATATTCTCCAATATATTGACTATTATTTAATTGGGTACTATTTGTAATGCTTACGTGGTAATGTAGAAGAGCTTGATGTATACGCTAGACTTGTTGATCCCTGATATGCACCAGATTGTTGATACCATGAAGATAAATTACCAGTTAATGTTGATGCTGGATTTGTTGTTGTCATAGGATTTGACGATTGTAATAAACGTTGTTGTTGTTGTTGTGCTAATCGTGCAACAGCTAATGCTGTCGCTACGCCAGGATTTTCTCCTGTAGTACTTGTGGCAATTACACTATTATTGTTATTATCACTACTATCACTACTTCTAACATTACCCGGATTAGTTGTACCAGTGCTAGCTGATGTAGAAATATTAACTGAAGTTGGAGCACCTGGTGCACTCCCACTTGAACATAAATAGGCAGCTAATGCTGATGCAGTAGTAGTACTGATACTACTACTGCTAGTAGTAGTAGTTGTTGTTGCGATAGTTGTACTGGTTGTAATCTCTTCACCAGGTGCATGAGCAAAAGATGAAGCAGACAGAGTCGAAATGGTTACAGTCGATATAGATGTGGTACTAGTTTCATGTGGTGTGGTGACTGTACTTAGTGGTATATCAGCAGTATCCGCTGTGGTATTTGTATTATTAGATGACGTATTTGAACAAACTAAACCAAATCTAAATAATCGAATTCTATGTAGGCTATCTGCAACTAACAATTGGTCAATTTGATTTTCTGAACGATTATTCACTGCATCGTTTGTCGAACCATTTTGAAGTAATCCATTTGCTGGCGAATCTGGTGCACCTGGAGTAGATCTATCTGGTGGGGGGTTAACTTGGACAGATTCTGTGCCATTAGGCAAAAGCATACTTGGTATCGGTGGGAATATAGCCGCCATACTTTGTACACGATAACCTTCAACCACGGCAAGTACACGACCCTGATCTTCCGTATCCTAGTAACAATAAGTATACAAAAAAGAACAGACCAATATGAAGTTTAAAAACTTACAAGAAACATGGCACAATAGTACAGTCGCTCAGTACTAATGATGGGTGTTAAAATAGCTAAAGACTGATTGTTAGAACAAAAATAAATAGTAAGCTAAAGATCCAAGTTAGCAGAGATCACGCATTAAAAAGTACCACATCTATCAGCAGACAAATAATGATAACAAGTATTTGCCTTTAAATCGTTAGGTTGCGGGTGAGAACCCCTCACTTATTTCGGTTCGACCAGACAGGATAGTACCACTAGTGTTCATATACAGACACTGTAATTCAAAGCTAAGTACAAAAACGTTTACTTGATAAATGAGTTATAGCAAATACTTATAATACACGTTGTGTTCAACAATATTCTATCAGATTTTGGATGAGTAGCGGGAAAAGATGCGTAATATAACGAACGGATTTTGAAATTTATTTTATAAAATATTCGTGAAGTTAACCAGTCTTACAAACTTACCATTACATAGAAGCTCCCTTTCAAACCACCAAAAGCTAGTTTACGACTATCAGAGAAAAATGAGGCGGTTGAATAGACATCTTCATCGTTTACCTTCTGGCTGCATAATTGTTGACCACTGAATACATCGAATACTAGAACGGAACTTTGTTCTTCTCCACAACAGGCTGCTAATCTGATAAAAAGAAAATGAGCTATTCAAGTGAAGTTTGAGTACAGGACAGTCGTTGATTTATGAAATATTCATGACCTACTATGAGCGGACAACAGGCTTAGAAAACGTTTATGTCCTTTTAAAAGGACGAACAAACAGACAGAACGATTAAAATCACGTAAGATTTAAGTGACACGATTTACAAGACTTCAATGAGTATATTGCTGTCATCACTTCTAATCAACATTATTTCCCACTGTAAAATTATACTATATCATGGAACTTGATAAGTGAGCTAACACAACTAGATGACATGTTTTCTAATCGACTAGTACATAATCAAAGAGATAGATTAACCCATGAGAGCTGGAAGAAAAATATCCCTGGAGTCTTTTGTAGGATAAAAGTATATATTTTATGGATGATAGCAAGGTGTTGATGCTGTGACACATAAAAATTAATCGCTATGAAAACAGACAAATGTTAATGTGATGTTATGACAATTCACTAACTTTAAAAGAGTGATAGATTGAGATTAATAAAGATATGAATGAATCAATCCCTAGTTATGTTAATCAAAGTGTAAAGTCATTGAGTGATTCAAAACTAGGGACTTGGGAAAAGACCGTCAGTGACTCCATAGTTTGATATCTCCTTGGTCTAGCTGGTCAGAAGTGTATAGAAATAAAATTTACTTTGGCAGATACAGTAGATTTTTTAAATTTCGAAAAACTAACGTCATCCATTGTTGGTGATATATCACCTATCTCAACACAAAACATGTATTAGGTGGTGGCGTATACAGTCATCCCAGAAAACATCGAGAAGGTGAAAAACGAATGGAAACAAATACGTATCCCAAATAACTTTGCATTAATATGTGACACGTAATCTGTTCACAAATATATGGGAACTGAAGTTATAAAAACGATTTCAACATAATGTATGATATATAAGTTTCTTCTCCAAAATATTCACTATTTGCAGCAATACGATTTCTTTCCAGTTTTTATAGCTTCAGACATCCATGAAAGTCATTAGATGTCAGACACATCAGTTGACATATTGTTCTACGTCTTATCATCCATTGCATGCTTAGTAGTTTCACATTTTATCTTGTACTCTTAGAATCCAAACTCGTTTTTTGCAATACATACGGTCAAGTATCAGTAACTTTCGAACGATTTTACGACAATTTTTCCGATGCCAAATACTTTGTTAGTACTGTTTGCAAGGACGATTTTCCCAAACTCACATTATGTGATCATCTGGACAGCAAATGAGCGACCGAAAGGCACAAGAGATGGTACACTTTGAAAGTTTTAGTCAACATGATGACTTTTCGGAATTAGCAACTTAAGTGGCTTAGTTCATGTATTTATTGGGAAGAATACTATAAATCACATCAACATTATGATTTACAGAGACTTTTACAGATGCTGAACAAATATTTTTAAAATATCATACTAACTTTGACTAAAACATATTAAATTTCGGTGCATAGTTTACATTATAGCCAAATATCAACCTGGTTAAACAAATACAATGAGATGATAGTATATTAAAGAAATAAAAAAGTTATAATTATATACTTTTTAGAATCAGGTGACCAACACAGACAGCCAATATATGCAGGTGTAGTTAATACTCGGAAAAATGAGACAGCATGTCGTACAGAGTCTACACGCCAAACGTCGACATTTGCATCTTTGCCACCAGTTGCTAAATAGCTACCGTCTGGAGAAAACTGACAAAACCATAGATCAGAATCTCTTTGATGGTCCAAAGTTTGAATACAAAATGCTGGGAAATCTTGCCTAAATTGAGATTAAGAGTGAAGAATAGGATTATATTACAATGAGCTGTTAGGGCTCATGACATAATGATTTTGGCTGGAACTTTCGAATAAAAGGCAACACTGAAAAACCTTATTAAGGTAACCAACTATGAATTTCCTGCCGAAAGATATGCAGAAGTCTTACTGCCAAACTGTAACAACCTAACACTAGCAGCATATTTGATCGTTGGCTAGCGTTAGAATCAAGGATATGCGTCAATTAGATGTTTCTATTATCCACTTCGTTCCTCTTCAAGGCCTACCAAATATGTCATTGTCAACCAGTCATACGTAACATAAAACCCGACACGTGCATCTGTTCAAGTTCTCATACTTCATTAGCACAGCGAGATAAAATTATTTTAAGATGAATCCCAAGATAGTAGTCCCGAAATAGATGAGCGATGCCTCGAAGACACCTATGGTCGAATACTAGTGCCCACGAATGTCCTCTATTATTGATGGCCATGTTCCACATCTGTAAAGCGGAATAGGGCGAACTGCTGAGTAGCAAATCCATCTTTTGGTTGACATATGGATATCTCACCTACTCCACAAGGGACGCAAGTTGTTGATGGTCAATTTAGTTTACTAAGTTCGTGTTGAAATTTCGTTAGCCACCAGCCCATCATGACTGATGAAATTTCCGAAATAGGTGAAACGGTTGCTGCACTCGACTACTTCACTCAGTATCATTAGTCTGGGCTCTGATGCAGGCCAACACTGAATTGAAATTTTGAATTTGAAAGAATCGCATCTCAAACACGATTGTATGTTGCTTAAGATAGTTATAGGACTCTGTAATTTGTTGGCAGAATCTTCTGTTAGAGCAAGTGAGGTGTTAGTAACTTAATATAATTCACTAACCAGGTATAGCTTTATGTACTTGGCCTTCTGTAGCATATAAGCTGTAAGATCTGGCTGACAAAGCTCAATTAGGTGCAACAGTCTGAACATACGATCAAATGATTGGTGGTAGTGTTTTTATCAATAGGCTACTACTAGACAAAGGCAACTGAAATCATCCGGCTAACCAAACCACAGTAGGTGAGGAGGAGTATGAATATTCTATTCGAGGTTCGGTTACTGAGTCATTGCACAACTGAGAACAAGATAGTATGGATTAAATTATAGATAGAACTGTTTTCCCTTGATTAAGTTATTGAATGTGAGCTTTTATAAAAAGTAATTAATGAAGGCAATTACATAATGATAAAATGTGTCATTTTATGGCAATAGTTTAAGTTAATAAATGTCCTTATATGTTATAAAGAATTAATACAGATATTGCACACTGATTAGGGGCGTCGAATTCTACCTAATATGTGACGGACTCCACTTTGAATAGTTAGGTAGTCATTAAACTTTATGTAACAAATTCAGTTGATATTTGGTTTTACAACTGTGTACATGATTACTGATGTATTGATAGATATGATGGAAGAAATTGAACGTTTTAAAAAATTGGAGTAAAAATGATGCTGAAAACGTACCCAAAACACTACTGAATTACGATGTTTAATAGGAATATGGTTTGCTTATTTTGAAGTCATTAAATAAAAATTAGTGAATGCGGTAGACAGTCAAAGTAAATATAACATAACGAACTGTCTCTAGTCTAATAAATCAGACGGTGGGCTACACTACTTTAGTGTCTGGGAACAAAAGCCGTGAATTAACCCGTTTCATGTCACTTTACTGAATCAGTCAGGGGTTTTCAACCACTAGACATTTTTCAAAAAGTCAATCACCGTATTTCTAATACCATTCATAGCTAAGTATCGGGCGATAACGTTGTTATGCAATGAAACAAACGGTTTGTATAAATAATTACATGCCACACGAATGACGCTGTAGTAATGATATATTATGTATATCAGTTTGGACACCCATCGGAGGATTATGAAATATGCATGAAGCCAACTGTGCACGAACAGATTCATTGATCAACTCTTCTAGTCTCCCAGGTGGTAACATTGTCTGTGCTGGTATAAAGGCTTGTATTCGATTGATCAGCTGTAAACGACTCCCAGCATCTACTCCAGCCCAACCACCTGCTTGTGCTTGGAGTTCAACAGCAGTTCTACACATCAAACAACTAAAATTTGAAGAAAATCGTCGAAAAAAAACTAAATAAGTTAAAGATATAAAAGTTAGTGAATATAGCTGATTGTTATAGGTCTCAGATTAGAAGATTACAACTTATACTTTACAGGCCGACTGAATAACTGAGACGTCTAGTGAGTGACACAGTATGAACTGATACAAAACTAAGTGGTTTTAAGGGTTAGATAACATTGCTTAGTGCAAGATACCACAGCTAACTGAAAAAATTAAGTATTTTATAGGTAATTAATGACAAGCAGCTTGACCTACTCGACGTAAGTCATCAAGCGATAGAACTAAAAAATTCCATGAATTGTTTAAGTTTATCTGAGTGTCATCAGCAACAGGAAGCACCATGTCTATAAGAAAGTGAATAAGCATAAAGAAAACATGTCAGAACTTATCGCGATTTTGGCTTAGTTTATGTTTAATTCTGCTGCTGCCTTGACACGGCGGTCGGCTTGCCTATCGTGATGACCCAACCGAGCTACATTGGCTGGAAAACATGTTCCTGTAGGTTCTACCATGCCAGGCAGGTCGATTGGAGACTAAAAGCAGCAACTCAAGTTCTGAGGGCGAAGTCATACCGCTGACTGTAGAGGTGTGTGACAGCAGTAAGGTGTTTCCCTTGAACAACCAGCATCTGCAGCGATTTCGCCTTCTCACAAGGAAGGAAGGGGTTAGAAAAGGTTGACCTTAAAAATGTCACACCTCAACTTACCTCACGGATTACCGTCTCCGGCGGTAAGGTCCTTTGAAAAACGGAGCTAAAACGTCAAAAACCTTCCACAAAAAGGCCGTGCGCGACCGGCCTCAAGCAGTTGTCCCTTGGGCTCTGTGGTCACGCTCCCAGGTCGTTAAGACCAACACTAATCCGACTTCACTTTCAGGTTCCTCAAGAAATACCCTTCCGCGGTGTGGGCAGCCGGGAAGTGACATCAGCCCTCATACCCGTAACAACACACAAGAGCAAGTTGGTCACATTCAAATCCTTCCTACACCACCAAATACCTCTTTCATCTCCACGACTAACCCTTCTCACGTCCCTTTATCACCTCTCACCGCTAGGGCAAACGACTCGAGTCCTAGCTCTCTTAGACTGGATCCCAGTAGACAATCGTTTGTGCGCTGTCTGACTGAACGGAACAGTAAAGACTCGGAAAGATAGAGACACTCTTCATCGTCTCTGCCCATTCTCTCACTGACTGAAGCTCAGACGATGTAAAAGATGAGTTTTATAAAAAGCGTTCCAACCTTCTCCGAAAAGCTAGGCGCTCTGATGTAGTTATAGTGGCTGGTGACTTTAATGTTCAAGTAGGTAAATTAAGCGAAAGGGAAAGACACCTGGGTAGATCTTATAGTGTCGTGGCTCAAAGAACAGAAAATGGCGACGGTCTGTTGCAGCTATGCTCAGATAACCGTCTAAAATATTAGCTTCAATAATACTTCGACGCCTAACTAAAGCTCGTGAAGAGCAGACCAGAGAATATCAGGCTGGTTTTCAACCTGGACGTGGTTGTATAGATCAGATATTCACACTACGTCAGGTTCTAGAACACAGAGACACGTTCAGACGCCCCACAATCGTAGTATTTCTCGACCTTAAGGCGACATTCGACTCTGTCGACCGTAAGGTTCTATGGCAGTGTTTGTCACTGAAAGGAGTACCAAAGAAGTACATTAACCTTATACAGGCTCTCTACTCAAACACAACTGGTCGAGTGAGAGCTTATGACGAACTGTCATCAGAATTGATTACCCCAAGTGGTGTTCGTCAGGGCTGTCCACTCACTCCATTCTTGTTCAACTTTGTCATTGACGTACTTTTAGAGATAACACTTTCCTCGTCTAGATTTCCAGAGGTTAAACTTCTGCCGGGAGGTTCACTTGTTGACTTAGAATATGCTGATGACATAGTTTTATTTGGTGAAGACGCTGACAAAATGCAGTCTTATGACCACTCTAAGCAATAATGCAAGCATGTTCGGGATGCGATTCTCCCCCTCGAAATGTAAAATATTGCTTCAGGATTGGGTTGCATCGACATCCGAACTGATGATAGGGAGTGAAGTAATTGGGCGTGTAGATCGCTTCACTTATCTTGGAAGTCTCATCAGCCCTTGTGGTCTGGTGTGTGATGAAATCTCAGCACGGATACAGAAGGCTCGACTAGCTTTTGCCAACTTGCGTCATTTATGGCGCAGGCGAGATATCCGTCTATCAACCAAAGGACGGGTTTACTGCGCAGCAGTTCGTTCCGTCCTACTTTATGGTAGTGAAACATGGCCGGTAAGAGTAGGGGATATTCGTAAGTTACTAGTATTCGACCATAGATGTCTTCGAAACACTACTCGTATATCCTGGGACCATCGAGTGAGTAACGCAGTTGTTAGGAAACGGGTACTAGGTGAGGATGGCAAATCAATTGAAGTAGTGAAACTTGATCATTTGAGATGGCTGGGACACGTGTTACGTATGCCCAACGACCAACTTCCTCGACGTGCGATGTTCAGTGGTATAGGAATAGGTTGGAAGAAAGCTAGGGGCGGCCAGACCAAAACATGGCACAAACCCATGAAGTCACTGACAAGTGGACTGAGCCATGTTGGTAGGTGTAGACTATCTGGTTGGGGACCGCGAGATGATAGCAACCGATGGTTAGAGACCCTGAATGACATGGTTCAAAATCGTTTGCAATGGCACAGGTGCATACACTCTTTGTGTTCTCCCAAATTCTTATCTTCTGAATTCTTCATGTCCCTTTCTTGTTCCTCCTTCCAAATTTATTTCACTGGATTATACTCTTTAAGTAATATCTCCAAACACTAATCTTCCCGATTACTGCTTATACTCTTATTACCTCCACCACTAAGGGATTTGAATCGACAACTGCATATCTGTGCTAATTTGGTGTGGCAACTCGAACTGATGTACGCACGTACGTTTTTTTATATTTTATTTAAGCTCATATATATTGGTACAAGGAGGCACCAAATACATATGCGCCACACAGATCTTGTTTGATATGTGTGAGGGCTGTGATACTGACCGGGTGCCCAAACCGAAGCAGGTGGTTTTCTTAGAGGGGTCACACCCGGATCCTTCGACCTGAAGGTCTGATCCACAAGGCAGTGGAGAAACGTCAGATTATGCAGACCCATGGTAGCCGATGATCAATAGTTGGTTCATACTCCATTTGTTCCATCAGGATCCTATAGCCCATGTGTATCCTTGGTTCGGAATCAGGGTTTTCAAACTCCCCTAGGTGAACTCTCCATGTCCACCAACCCGGTTAAAGCGCCGGACATTCGCTTCTCGTCCTCCCAACTAGGTAAACAACAGTAATGCCACGAGAAGGCAGAGAGTAGGACTTCCCTGGCGATGGCTGTATACGTGTGAGAGCATTGCGAGGAGAGAGGACTCTCCCCACTCTCGGCTGTACCAGGGCATTTGGGGGCACGTACGTTGTTACTGACTGACTGAACTCTTCGTTTTACTTTTAAAGTTCCCTGTGTTTAGTATCATCTATCCAACCTTACTTACTATGTTTACATGTATTTGATCACTTTTAATGTTGTTTCTTATTTTTGTTTGAAGTTGACTTACGTCGCTTTATTTCAATATATGAATTGCGTTTAATTAGGTACTCAGGTTCTTTAGCTGTAGATGTGCTATTCGCTTTCACCATTGATCTTTATTGCTTGTTCTGGACTACTTTAGAATGTCATTGGATATTCGGGGAACTTCATGGATGTATAGTAGCCTTTATACGAAATCAATTCAATACAATGACGAGTTACAGAAGACATTTCCTCTTCAAAAAAAACCTATGATTATTCTTAGAAGCCTCATATAAACACAATAATCTCATTAAACAAAACGAAAGGTTAGGAACACTTTTCAGAAACGCAGATATTTATAGTTTGACATAATTATTAGGATGACAGACATAAATCTTGAAAAAAAAACATTCAGCTACATTTTATAAGACAGAAAATTAATATGTAGACATGTTTCCAGTACAAAACAAACATATCAAATGTGAACACGCTTACTGACTAACGCAGTTATACAAGCAGTAAGCACATAGATATTAAAACTAGCATTTGATAAGTCAAGGGAAAAAATAGTCAACAGAAAGGGGAAAACAAAGCAGAACCTATACTAAAAATATGTATCGGTTCGATTTGCCACTTTCTGTTAACAAAACGAGGAAATCAACAAGAGGATAATCTTTAGTAGCAGAGAATGGTTAAAAAGGAAGTAAGATTTTCCTAAAACTCGATCCTGCGAAATTGTCAAAAATATGGGGAAATATTGTACTGACAACTTTTAGGATACAAGGAATGAATGTATATGACCTACTATTGTGAATGGCTTTGGACTTCTTGCCTTTGTTAATCGATCAACGTTATGTTAAGGGTATCAAGTGGAATATATTCACCTCCCCTCACAGCTAAATAACCATTGATTTCATCTGATGGATCTTATTCTTCATCACGTCTACGCTAACCAAATTAGCATGTCTACGTTTTGCTTACAAACAGCGATCGCAATAAATTGAGTAGAATCACTTCAAGCTCCCGAATTTCAGTGAATATCCCAGTCAATTTGAATAATAACCCTAGACCTACAGTCTTAAATACTACTATAATTTATGTACCAGAGCTACAATCTGATCTCAACCTTTAGATTGGGTTATTTGTGAATAATAGGGAAGTAAATGTTCAGATAAACTACTCTTTAATGTGTTCTCATGAGCACTTCAGTTGGTTGGTTTAGGAATGAATTATTGATCCATCTTTCTTAACGGTTTCACCTAATGTTTACATTTTAGACCGAAATAAAATAACTATTCTCGGTTCTTTGTATTGCTTTCACTTTTACTACTCAACATGATCGAGGCTTACTGGGATGAGTTTGCAAGCATTCTGAAGCTATCAAAATCTAACCTCTTCTGGTTTTTAGCTAAAGGTTGTTACTAAGGTTTTTACGACAAACTAGAAAATATGGCAGGATACTTTACGATGCAAGTTTCTCTACAAATTTAGCAAGTGCTACACTATTTATTCTTTTCAATATAACCCCGAATATGATTTTTCTGCCTAGTAAGGCGAAGGATATGCTTTTACGGGAGCATGATGGATTTTTGAAATATGAACCCTAGAAGAGACGTTAAAGTCCTACTGATTTCTTCCGACGATGGTGTGTCAATATTTGAGCATCAAATATACTATTTCAGGATCTAAGGGAAGACAAAGAAAAGATGCACCTGGATCATTATGAACAATCTTAAGCCATGCCATCCAAAGTTTCCAACTAATGGTTATGATAATCACCCGAACCCCAACCAGGTAGTCTGCACCTACCCATATGGCTCAGTTCAATAGCAATGCCAACTAAAACACATGAACAAGCATTTGAAAAGTTGCTAAATATTTTGCGAGAAACTAAATTTTTAATATGTAAAACAATATCCCCATTACCTGGCCAAAGTATGTACTCGCTCTGTATTACGTTGCATAGGTGTAATACGATTACGTAGAAGCGTGACGGCAGGCATTACTTCATTGGCTTCCAAATTTTCCAGAAACTGTTGTTCTAATATCAAAAATCGGACTTCTTCAACACTATTTAGATCCCCTATCATGGGTGCTAACTTGTCTATTGCGGCTTCAGCCTATTTAAATGATAAAGGGATAATTGGTGTAATAGAATTTTTTCGTACAGTTGCTTTTTTATAAGTCGAAGTAATAACCAAACAGAAAAAAGCTGTGCCTTGCTCCTTTATTACCACTAATCACTCTAAACTAAAGATAACACTCGGCCACATAAATATTGGTAGTTAACTTTGGAAACTAATGAAGGGCTGTTTACAACACAATTTAACACTGCCGTGAATCTCTGTTATCAAGTTAATGAAGATTTTCCTACGACTACTCATCAATCCAGATAATTAGTTTGCGAGAATAAAACGAAAGCTCTTGAGTCAGCATAAAAAAAACATTTGAAGATGTACAGAAACCTTGAGTCGAACTTGGTGACGAGTGTTACTGAAGGTCTCCGTACGAGATGAAGATGGTCAGTGCAATGCTTTGTTGTCTTATACATCCAAAGGAGATGGTTCCGCACACACAAAATAACTACACTTACTTAACCTCGAATTTCCCGAGAATATAGCTTGATTTATTGAATGATATCTATATTTATATCGATTGAAAACAAGTTTAAAATCATTGGCTTTAAAATTAACAGGACTCGTCTAATTTTTTTGGCATTACGAGTGTAGCTAGTAAGATCAGTGTGATTGAGATGTTAGGTCTGATTAGATACACAACCAAACAGAACAACTGTTTCTGAACTGGAATGCTCATTACGAATACAATTACAGAAGTGAGAAATACAAGTGGCGTCACAAACTTTATACGTAAGTATCATGATTGTAATTAAACGAAAAAATCTCAGTTGATAATTGCTAGATTTAATTTATGAGTATTAATGCGTTGTTTTAGAAAAATGTGGTGGTTACAAGCATCCCAAAGCCTAATTATCCGATGCTTTATTAATGGTTCTTTAAATTCCCTTACAACAGATACTAAGTAGTCTTAATCACCAGGATATGGTGTAACAATTGTATTAAAGTACATGATCTAACTAGACGAAGTTTAATTAAGACACAAAGTTGTAGCTTTCTCCAGAGACCCAACTAAAATATGCGAACGTGTTAAAGCTGTTGTCAGTGATTTTACATGTACATTTGTAGCATTCATTGCATAGAATACTGTGGGGATTATAACGATTGAAAGCGCAACTTTCGAACTAATACTCTGACTCTCCTAGATTATTATCCTTCCCAACTTGATCTCCCTCATCTCATGCTATTCTTAGATTGAGATACAAAAGATAATTTATGGAATGCACAGTAAGTAAAGAGGAGTCTACTGAAAAATACACTTTTATAAAGTAGAATGGACGATAAATGCATCTGAAGTTTTCCATCTTATACCTACTGATCGCATTAACTAGTTGTCTAAGGTTCGTACCAAATTTATTGTTGGGGTTACAAATAACCACACCACTACTAATCTAAGTGGGAAAATAGAACGATGATAAACCTGTTATATTCCCAGTTTAATACAAGTAACTTGACTAATTCGGTTTCACCATTTATGAAAAATATCAAGCTAACAGAACAAAAGCCGAGTTTTGTAGGGAAGCCGCGGGAGAATGACTTACATCAAGCCATCTACCTTCCAAAATAGCATGACGCAACTCTGTTGCATCGTTGTGTTCCAGGGTGATCCCAGACTCTCTGGAAAGCTGTGTATATGTGCCACTGAAGTGTGTTAATATATAATAATATCATACTTAAATCCCTTGTCACAAAGATACTGGCCTATAAGGCGTAGCATTTCCTCATCACGAACTGAAAGACTCCTTGATCTAGCAATAATGAGGTCGTTTTTAATTGCAGCAACGCCATTGAACTGGCCATATAGAATATCACCATTTTGCTCCAGCATAACTTCAGCCTATGGTGGACTACGGTGAGCCCTACTAATGAAATAGGATATAAGATATACGGGTAAACTGTTGGTCAACAGCTGATCCGCAGTTCCTTTGTTAGTTTAAACGAGTGTCGAGTGTTCAATACCTAATTTCATTCCAAATTAGTTTAACACAGATTCAGATTTGTGTAGTAAGGGCAGAAGGTCTAGGGCCTACGTTATTCTTTTTCTAGTATGCTTCTGTGAGTGTTCAGTCTTCTCTTGAAAGAATCGATTGAAGGTGCGGACATCACTGCTTCGGGCAGCAGGTCCCAAGTATTGATGACTCGGTGTGAAAACCTGTATGCAACGGGTAGTTTGTTCATTCTTGGCTTTTCTACTCGCCTGCTATGTCCTCTGAGATGTCCCGATCTAGTGGGAAGAAAAAGAGGGAACAAGTTAGGTCCAAAACCATTTCTCAGTATTCTGTAAATGAAAATTAGATCTCCCCTTAATCTGCGATAGAACAGATTAAATAGGTCCAGCTTTTCAAGCTGTTCTCTGTATGGTAAACCTTGGAGTTCTGGAATTACACGGGTAGCTGCCCTCTGTACTTCTTCTAGGATATCCGAGTCACCTTTTGAACAGGGGCTTGCAGCCTGAACGCAGTTCTCAAACTTAGTCCTCACTAAGGATGTGTATACTGTGGTGAACATGGTAGCATCTAACTTAATGAATGTCCGTCTTACAGCCCAGAGGGTTCGAAACCCCTCAGCTGCGACCTTCCGGCAATGGGCCGTCGTCTTAAGATCATGATTCACTGTCACCCCTAGACCGGACCACAGGGAATGGCATTTCCCCTATGTTGTACCTATTAACCTCTGAATCCCCAAAGTGCATTTAGACACACTTCGCTGCATTTATAGGCATCAGCCACTCTTCAGACCAGCTAATCATTTTATTTAAGTCTACCTGAAGAGCACATGCGTCTGTGTCTCCAGTTATTACTCGCCAGATTTTTACATCGTCAGCGTATAATAACATTGGGGACTGTACTATACTTGGGAGATCATTAACATACATTATAAAAAGTAAAGGACCTAGGACGGAACCTTGAGATACCCCACTAAGTACTGGTCTCCAGATGGAGCACATGGAATTTATTCTCACTTTCTGTCTACGACCTACTAGGAAATCCTTAATCGATTTTAAGAGAGGTTCGGCAATACCAAAGTTTTCCAACTTCAATAGCAGTCTATTAGTTGGCACCTTGTCAGAAGCCTTACTGAAGTCTATGTAGACAACATCCACTGGGTTTCTGTTGTCTAGCATCTTTATCCAAAATTCCCTTGCTACAAGGAGGTTCGTTGTACAAGATATACCCTTTCTAAAACCATGTTGTTTGCTGTCTGACAAGTCATTAGTTTCAATAAATGCCATTATGGTCCGTTCGACTATTCTTTCCAACATTTTAACTACGACACTGGTGAGGCTTACAGGTCTGTAGTTCGATGGAAGTTGTCTTGGTCCTGTTTTATGTATAAGAGTGACGATTGCGTCCTCTCAGTCCATAGGTAACACACCTTGGTCAGGTGACATATTGAACAACACAGCCAGTGGTGCCGCGATATATTGTGCAATATGTCTCAAGATTTTTGGGTGTAGTTCATCTGGTCCTCCTGACTTTTCCATGTATAAGGTGCTAAGAGCCTTGGGCACGTCGTCTTAATCGAAGTCCACGGTGAGCAGGTAGTTTGTTGACTCTTTATTTTGGTCTGGTTCTTTGTCTAGAGGAGGTTCCTGAGTGAAAACTGCCCCAAAATAGTCAGCCATAGGCTCTGCTTTTTCCTGATCTTCCTCTATCATTTCAGATTCACTCCCATCTTTAATTAGGTTGGGAATCCAATGATGCATCCTTGTTTTGTAGTTTATATACGAGAATATTCTCTTGAGCTGCTTGAATGCAGATAGTGTCAACTGCATTTCATATTTTCTTTGAGCTTCCCGAATTTTTGTTATACATTTGTTTCTTACCGATCTGTAGCGTTCCATCGTATCTGCTGTGCCAAGGCGGATGGCAAAATCTCAACATTTCTTCTTTTGTCTTAGTAAACGTCGAATATCCCGGCCTATCCAGGGATGTCCGTGCTTCTTCAACTTTGGGACTCTCCAGGGTATATTTTTGATTCTAAAATTATTCGCCCTCCAGAAGATAAAACAGCGACCATTCTGGTCTGTTCAGAACTGACAGTAGCAAGGTAACTGTGCACGCCTAATGGACTAGTACGTTTCCACAGATGGTTCTTACAGAAACTTACATTCTCATGAGACTTTTAACAGGCCAGATTCGCGAAAATACGAAAATCAGCAACTTGGATGAAAACACGAAGAATCCACTCTCCACAGTGAAAAAGGGTATCGGTAAGTCAGCTATACTGGCACACCTCAACACCAAAGCAACCATTAGTTTCACTACAGAATCATCCTCTTCAGAAATTGATGGAGTCTGACAACTTTGGGTTGACGAAACTAGGAACTCACGATGTTCATCCAGAGACGGTAGCAGGACACTCAGTCGAGTTACAGCACTTTCGACGGGGAACTCCAAGCCACATTTCGTGCTGAGAAGCATTCCCGGCACTCCATGGAAGACCGAGGATTTATCCTGTTTATCAACCACAAGCCTCTTACCTTCTCCAAAATCCCGTCTTTTTAAACCATATTCCCTTAGAGGGAATCGAATATTAGACTATATTACACGGTTTACTTCAGATATATATATATATTTCTGATGAGAACGGTGAGGTCACAGACACCCAGTCTCGCACGATTTTCTTAGATGGTTTCCGAGAGTTTGGTCCACCCAAATTTGCTCGGCTTCGAAAGTAGACACTGGTTTTCTGCACGATTTGTCCTCGATACCTCCGAATTGACGGATCAAACATATGGGACACATTACTATGTGGTATTTCGGTAGGTAGGAATCGCAAAATCGTGCTGAGATATGATGGACGCAGTGTCTTCAATACGTAACTCAAGCATTTTCTTCCAGGTGTTCGAACTACCACCTAGCTCATAGTAGAATGATTTTGTCGGCTTGGTATAAATAAAGGCATGAGGGAGTGGTCACGCTCTCGCGTAAGCTTCCAGAAATATAAAAAGATACAACCAATGCCCGCTGGGTACTTTCGTAACTTCCGACACTCGTTTCGACCATGTTCATCATCATTCAGTAAGACCCTTACCTGGTCCGAATGGACACTCTTATCTCTTAACATACGTGAATCATTTCACACGATTGCTAGAATCAGTATCTATCAAGGACATCAGTACTGAAACAGTGACTTGCGCCTTCGTCGAGTGGTGGCTAGCAAACTTCGGCTGCCATTCAACTATCACAGCAGACCGTGAACGCCAGCTCGAATCCAGACTTTTTAGTTGTACCACTGCACTACTAGGAGTCGCATGATTCTAAACGACCTCCCACCACCCACAAGCTAATGGGATGTTAGAACGGTTTCGGTGATCGTTGAAAGTCAGATTTCGAGTTTCAAACATATCACAATTAACCAACTCTCTTCCAGTCGCGTTGCTCAGAATTCAAAATACAGTGAAAGCTAATGTTAAAGTTCACCTCATATTAGCATCATCAATAACTTTGGATATCTGATTATATTTAATCCCGTTTGTGTGACAGTCATTATCCATAGCGTGAACCAAACACAATTCTTGGATGTAATTTAAAACTTTCCTAATTTATTTTATACTTTGTTCATCCAATTCTGGATGTAAGGCTGTTTTTGGGGTGTTTTTCTAGTTCGGTGTTTTTATTAGACAAATACACTTGATTTACACTAGAGTTAGTTTTGTATCGATTATTTGCGTTAGGGTTAGGTGGATCAGGATGGTCTAGCTTATCACTAGTCATTCACACCAGTAACTTTGTGCCTGGACTTGACAGCATGCAAAAATTATTTGGCTTTTGGTAGATGAAGCTGAAACCGTCACAGTCTTTGGTTCTGAGCTGAATAAGAAGTTGTCGCTTCGTCCAATACGGTTGGATACTGTATATTCAAATACTTTTTTCATGCGGTTCTGCGAATAGACCTGAGGGTTTAATTACCGGTATAGTGGGTCAAATAATAGCTGATGAAAGGGATGGCACGTGGTACCCTTCTCGTTATCTCGTAATTAACCCAAGGAAATCATGAAAGATTACGATTATGTTTCGTTGTTCTGCCGAGCATGAGGGCCTATTGTTAAGTGACTCACTTTTAAGTGTTCCCGATTGTACTGCCTCACTACTAGGCGTCTTGCTATGATTTCATCAGCCACCAGTTTCTGTGGCTACAAATACTGAAGTAGTATTTTCGAAGGTTAGGGCACCAGATGAAAATACAGATTTCTTGATGTTTCTGAGGTGTGATGTTATCACCCTTTTGCGTTGGTTTTGCCTTTAGCTATATCTTCGTTTGAATCATACATATGCGAGTTCGCAGGGGTAATCAACAAGTAATTTGACGTCGAAGATTCTCTTGCATCGTCTAAGGGTACCGATATGGTGCAACATTCCTTGACTGATACTCAAAATTATTGGTGACGGGAGGATTCATGTTGATAGGGTTTGTGTATAACTGTAGAGAAGCTTGGTGTAATACTACAGTATCGGATACTAAAAATGTGTGATTTATTTATAAAAACACTACACACTGTGTCTACTCTTTGAACAAAGTAGGTGATGCACAGTGCTCCGTAGTAGACAAGGCCAGTATCCCAACAAGTCGAAGGGAATGCTGCAATTCTGTCTTAAATGTTCATTACACCAGGACTATAGTCTCGCCTTACTCTTCACACTAAACTAAGTTTTCGGGAAACGTTTAGACCTTAATCAAGTTCAGACGAAGGTCGATGATGTGCTGGTCACTCAGTGGGCAGAATGGATTCGGCGGCACAATTGCAAATTCTATGGCATACAAGTTTGAACATAAGCAACCGGTGGTTGAAGTTACATATGTTCTGTGGTTCATCAGGAGGGAGGCTTAAAGTAGCAATATATTTACGTCAAATGATGAGTGAACAGATATACGATCGTTATTGGCTAAGGTTTGAGTCAACCCGTAGAGGTCTGCCACGATAACTCCTCTTGAATTGGGTGCAG